TTGGGGGGTAATAAAAATGATCTAAAATTAGATTGTGGTAACAGCTACACAACTCTGAATATATTCGCATTATATACTCGAAATTAGTAAATTGTATGATATATGAAGTATAATGCAGTGAAGGTATATTCCACAGTTTTGAGTGATTGGAGACAATCAACGTAGTCTTCCATAATTTAATTCATCAAATAACAGGCTGGTAAAATAAAATGTAGTGTATAATTTTGGCATGATTTTTTTTGAGGGGCTGAGGGGAAAAGGGATAGACCCTAATGAGCACAGAGGTAGCCTTTTGCTACAGATAAATAAAAAATTTAGAGAGGAAGAAAACAAACAGAGGCAAATTTGGAAGAGGAAAAAATTAGGAGGAGACTTAGAAGACAGCCATGAGAACATAGGTCAGTGCACAGGAAAAGCTAAGAATGTGCCTTTGGGTGAAAGGAAAATTGACATTTAAGTTGGCAGGAAATGTCTTGGATATAGTAAGGGTTTATTCATCTCCTTCAAGAATTTCTCTCCTCTTGGTTACCACAGGGGAAAGTAACTTGTAGACTAGTAGTGAAAGGACACTAAAGATTACAGATGGCCAACTTGAGAAATGACCTTAGCAGGTGAATTTATTAATTCCAGTTTCTCATTTTGGTCAAGTAGTGAATTTGGAAATATAACAGTGAAGGTACCATGAGAAACTATAACCATTTTATAAAATCTTCCAAAGGCCAAGATCAGTGGCCTACACTATATACTGAAAATATACTGCATTGGAATCATGGAATGTCAGGAATTCTTACATATTTATATGTAATTATGCATTTTATGACTAGTTGGTTCTTTTCTAATCTGAAATGCTATCACTTTTTTTTGCTAAAATTATATTTAATTTTTATATATCAAGGATTATTCAAAGAAATTTAAATCATCTGGCTTTTCTCAAATGCATACTATCTATGTTTTATATATTCAGAATAAAATTAAATAATAAAAAATGTAATAACAATATTTTCTCATGTGGCTTTACATAATTCTGGTCTTTTACCTGTAAGAATTTTTTTAAAAAGACAAACACTAATTGAGTGTATATCCACACAGAAATTAAATAGAACAATATATTTACTATCTGTTCATTCATAAATCAGCCCAACATTTATTGAACCCATGCTCTGTGTGAAGTACTGATTATGCACAGAAGAATAAGTGATCTGTACCCCTAGGAATATTCAGCCTGAGAGTTAATAGTAAAAAGTACTTTCTTAAACAATTGACCCTAAATTTTTAGAAGTTTAATTTTGAAGCAAACATGTTTAAATCCCGTAAAAACCAAATGTATCTTTATTCATCACTGACCTTGGCAGCCTTTCAGAAGTTATACTTTACACATTGGTGAGTTACCCTTGAACAGTTTATTTAAATGATTAGGCTCACGGCTTTATATCAGACGCTCAAATCATCCTTTTTTTCCACTGTCTTTCATCCTGTAAATGTAGCTCCAAACTAATTCAAGTTAAGAAACATTATTTTCTTCATTTTTTTATTTCCCTTCTTGTCCCTTTTGGCATGACCCAAAAGGCAGCAAGAATATGAATGCTTGTTCTACTTTTTTTGATGAAACAGCAAAGCTCCCATTCAGAGGTGCAGCTGATGCTGTCTGATGGTGTCTCATACCGAGCAGCAGCAAGGCCGGAAGCGAGACCCAGCCTCACGTGAGCGGGTGTGGGCTATTCACTGTGCCACTGGCAGCAGGCAGCAGTCTGAAAATCCAGTCCCACACTGCACTTGATTTTTTTTTTCTTCTCTTTATACATCCACACATGCACACACGTGTGTGTGCAAAAAATTAACAGTTGGACAGCAATCAATTCCCCCAAGGCACAAAATAAGAGCTTCAAAAGATAGACAAAGTGATCAGGTGAAACTCAGTTTCCCTGCCACCCCGACTCCCAGTACTCCACCCCAGAGGCAACAGATGTTCCTGTTTCTTATGTATGTTTCCAGAGAGATTCTGTCAGGGCACCACTGCCAGCCTATTCTCTTTCCTTCCAAAGCCAAGAGCTTTCTTTCAGACAATTGTGTTTTTAAAAGTATCCAGCTATATATTAGATGTGAAAAGCAAGTGACAACAGTATGTGCAGTAGTGGTTCCATTTTTTAAATATAATAATACATTAGAAGAGAAATGCAGAGTGTAGTGAGCCAGAATGTTAACAGAGGTCTGAGGTGGGGTCCACTTTCTTTAGTAGCCAACTCAGTGTTATGTGAACTTTTAAAAATAAGAGCATATACTCTTCATAATAAAGAATTTTTTTTTTTAAAGAAACTCCAACTCCCCACAGGCGAGTACGAGTTTCTTTAAACTTTTGGTATAACTGGATGCCTTTCTGAGGACCTAGTAAGTTGTCTTCTGTCCTTACTTTGAAGTCATGATAACAAGCTGAACTTGTTAAGAAATACATTCTTAGAGAAGATTAGCTTTTACTTCTCAAATAAGTCAACCAAAAATCAGAAGGAGGGACAGCAAACATTATGTTAAGTCATATACATTTTATTTTTAGTATAAAATTCCTCTAGAGAACATGTATTATTATTTTATTTCGTATTCTTTTCAGAACACTTGGCTTAACCCAAGAAGCACAGCAGACTAACCATTTGTAGTTCTCAACTAGTGATATTAATTTTGTATCCTAGCTAGTTCAGGCTCCTGGTTTCCAAATTGAAGGATCACACAAAATATCTGTAATGGCTAAGAGTGTACTCGGTGTGTAGCACTTCTCAAGAGCAACTTGATAGAATATTCATCGTGAATTTTAAATTTTTGTACTCATTAATCGAGTGATTTCATTTCTCTGAATATGTCTTCTGGTAGAAATCACTTATTGTATACCAGGATATTATGCCTTGTAAATTTTATTTCGAACGTTATTTGCAAATATAAGCAACATGAAGGAATCTCAGAATCCAAAATAGAGGAATGGTTAGATAAATTTTGGCACATAACTAGAGTAAATGTTATTTGGTATATGATGGTATATGGACTATCCCCATCAGTAAACAAGGTTCTTGGAGACAAGTGCATAACGAGAAATTATTTACAAAATTATGTTAAATGTTAAAGAATGATATAGTTATGTCTTAATTTGTCAAGAGTATGAGTGTGAGAGAGAGAGAGAGAGAGAGTGTGTGTGTGTGTGTGTGTGTGTGTGTGTGTGTGTGTATTTGAAGGTAGTTTTTTCCTTGCTGTATTTTCCACAACAAATATATATTAGCTCTTTTAAAGTTATGAAAACATTTTAATCCTAATAAAATTGCTAAAGAAAATGATTAGTGAGGTTGGCATTGTTGTCTTTTCAGGCTACTCAATATTTTCTTTTTAGATGATTTTCTTCCCTCAGAATTTTTGAGAATTTTAGAACTATTTAAAGGATTCTTTCATTTCTAATATTGTTAGTAATGTTTTAAAATTCAGTTTTTGCATCGTATCTGTTTTATTCATTAATAAATCTGAAGATGAACACAAATAGGTATTCTTTTCTTGGGCCCACTGGAATCTTACCCTCTTAACTGCTTACAGAATATTCTTTTATTGTTTGGCTTTACACATCTCACTATAGCTACTTTTGTTGCCTTGTTTTATTATTTTCTTGCATAAGAAGCACCTTTCAGTATTGTCACAAGTTATTTTTCTACATTTTTTTTCTAGATCTATTTTTTATTTTAGGGCAAAATAGTTTGTCATTACTTGCATATTATATTAATTTCCAGCGAAATCATTCAAAAGCCATGGAGAGACCTAATGATCTTTGATAAGATGTAGTTTTGTGTGTATGTGTATTTACTTTTAACGCTTCTTAGTTTTAAGTGTTCATAATACACTCACTGTGGATTGTGTTATAAGTCAGGGACAAGTGGCATCTGTGTACATATACTCTAAGAATGTGAATCGATAAAATATATGAACACACATCCTGATGGTAATATAAAATACAGGCCTCTTGTGTGTATGCGTGTGTGTGTGTAATCATAATTCACTGTGCTTGAAGTTCAAAGTCAGGCAGAGGCAGTCGAGTAAGTTGCAAAATAGCCCTTCCCGTGAAGGGAATGTGCTTGACTATGAAACAGAACTCTCAGTGTTAGTGCTACATTTCTAGTTGATGGAATTTAAGGTTATGGAAACAACTGCAAAAATAATTTGTCTGAAAGAAGTCTGGATGCAGAAATATAATAGAGAAAATATTTGAGAATATGGTTCATCAGCGAGTGCAACAGATACTCTAACCCAAGCACCACATGGTGCAGATCAAAGCATCCCATGACTTGGATCTGTGTGGCCAAATCATTACGTATTGATTGGAACCCCAGTGGAAGATTAACCCTTTCATGCTCATGCCAAGTTTTCTCTTACTCTTAGTGTTAGTAGTTTACAGAATGTAATCTTCCTACTACTATTAGCCTTTTTTTAAAAAAAACTAATCATCTACCTGGATATCTTTGTCTTCCTAAATTATTATTCTAAATTATTTAATTGCACTATTCTTTGCTGGATAAAATTAACTAGTGGAAAAATTTACGATTATATGACAGCAGTTTCTGGGGAAAGGGAAGAATAGAAAATGTATAATATTCTGGGTAGAAAAACATAGCAAGAGAATCTCAAAATCAAGTGCAGATTTTATAATTTTCATTATGTAGATTAAATAAGTTCTAGCTTTTTAAGGAATCCTTCACAGTCTGAGTAGAGCGCTTTGCCTCTAACAAAAGCCTGTCAAACATTTTTCATACATAGATGTACATTTCGAACATTTGACTAAACACATTTAGGTACAATTTAACTCTTGCTTTTAACAAACAATGCAGAATTAATTAGTCAATTCCATGGGAAAGGAAAACCACAGATGTGTCTTGTCCACATTTGGCCATGTGGGCTCCTCTTGCCTTTTATATCCTCGCCTGGTGGAATGGTTCTTGGCAGCAGATTCATTCTCTTGTCTTCTCTGTGTTTTCTTTCAGTTTGTCCCACGAGGAGCACCCCCATAGCCATCCTCTCTATGGACACGGTGTGTGCAAGTGGCCAGGCTGTGAAGCAGTGTGCGAAGATTTCCAATCATTTCTAAAGTAAGGATGATTTTGTTTTGTTGTCTTCTTTTGCATAGCCATCGCCTCCCACTGTTGATGCTTTTGCTCATAAAATGTCTTTTTGATGGAGACTTTCACACCACCCTTTTGAGACTTTGACTCTAAATCACAAGGGCTAGCACACTGTCAGAAATAGTTACAAAATCTATTGAGGGTTGTACTATCAAGGGAAAAAGACACCCAAGGCCTGCAGTATTCTTAGTAAGAACCTGTATTTACCCATTCTTCAGAATGACAGTGATTTAAAAAAAAATTATCCCAATATTAAGCTTGTAGTAGTTTAGTTTTCACTTTTATTCATTCCCCTACATATTAAATCAATAACATACATACTCTCAGTTTGTAAAATTGGTGTCACTTACTGGCCAATTGCTGTTTAGTGATTGAGCCCATTCTTTGTTGTTCTACAAATAACTTTATAAACATAATAAAATGGATGCTGAGGAAATACTACTAACTTGATTCTTATCTTTCTCTATGGCTGTTGACTTTTGTTCAGATTCTTGTCTTTATAGGGAGAATGGAGTAAGTTTAACTTCTACTGCTAAAGTATGCTAAAATATGACTAAAATTTGTGTTATCCTATTTGAATCTATAACACTGATAACGTGTCTCTGTAAGGAAATGATATATTAATCTTCTCATAGCTGAAATGAAATGCTTCTGTGCTACATCTTAATATTTTCCTTACCTGTGTAACCTTGTCACTTACAAAAATTTAAACTAAACTGCCCTGCATCTTTGATGTCACATAAATATGTTCATGATATCATTGAATCATTGACCTGTGGATTGAATATATTACATAAGAGCATATATATATATCGCGTAATAAGTACAGCATGTGTGTAATTTTTGTACTTCTGGAAGCATGTTGGTTTGCAAATTAGGTACTGAGGACATATTCCCTTGAGATTTTCTCTCCATTCAAGCTTCAGGGAAACAGAGGTGGACTGATTTATGTGCAGGTCTCCAGTCTTGTGTAGTCTTTATAGTGCTAGGACAATCTCTATATCTATCTTTATGGACCCGGATACAAATATTGTAATAAAGCCACCTTAGAGAGATACCTAGTGTCACCTGCAAGCAGTTTGGTGAATATAGTTTTTTGATTAATGAATGAAAGCTTGTGAATCTATTTCATAGTTTCCTGGTTTCAGTATGTTACTTTAAGAGCATTATGTGGTCATTGAAAATTTAAAGTGCTTAAATGTTTAGAAAAGAAATATCCAACTTTGCTTCTAATATCAGCAATCAAGAACAGCAATGCTGTGTTTTAAGTTAAGCAACAACCCTTTACAATATTTTGATTCAAGTTTGTGATACTGAACTTTGTTCTCTTTATAAATCATTCATTATAGAATCTCTGTTTTGTTTTTTTGGTTTTTTCCCTAACTTTTTGCCTAATTGTATTTTTATCATGAGAGAAAAAGAACATGGCAGAAGCCACTTTTAAATTCTGAAGTTCCTTCTGCACCAGTGCTAGATTTGATAAATATCTTGGTGCTGATTTCCCTCATCTGTAGAATGGCCGATAATCATTTGTAAACATATTATAAGTATTATTTTTATAATGTCTCTGGAACAATAAAATTGCTATCAGCATACTTCAGTGACATATATCAATTTTAGAGTCAGGAAAGGAAATCAGTTTCCCAATTATACCCATTTTAAAAATTTTGTCAATAGTCTAAATATTTCTGCCCTAATAATCATGGGTTCATTTATTATGTGAGCTGACATTTAGGTGAGATATAACTGCATATCCCCAAAAGGAGAGAGGTCAATTTCAAACCACATCTACTATTAAAGACAGGAATCTAAAGGCCATTAGAACTGGGGCCTAGACTTAATTACTTTTTTTAAAAAGCCCGTTTCTCTTCTAAGGGTATTCGAGTCTGTCTCTTGTATAGCAAACCACCTATCAATTATTTATTGTGGTTTTGCACATGACACGACATATTCTCCGTTCCTCTTTGCTCAGTGGAATTGGAATGCCCACTACCAACCTGTAACTGTTGCATGGTTATTTTCTGGAACTTTTTTTTTTTTTTTTTTTTTTTTTTGAGTTGGAGTCTCATTCTGTTGCCCAGACTGGAGTGCAGTGGCTGCTCCCGGCCACCGCAGCCTCGACCTGCTGGGCTCCGACGATCCTTCCGCTTCAGCCTTCCAAGTAGCTGGAACTACAGGCGCACGCTACTACGCCTGGCTGATTTTTTGATTTATTGTAGAGATGAGGTCTCGCCAAGTTGCCCAGGTGGGTCACGAACCTGCAGGCTCAGGCAGTCCACTCACCTCAGCCTCCCAAAGCGCTGGGATTAGAGGCTGAGCCACCGAGCCCTGCTGGAACTTATTTATTGACTGAGGTTTGTCAGAAGATTTGTGTTTGTGAGTTCTAGAAACCCAACTTAAATTGGTCTAAGTTAAAAAAAAAAGGTTAGGGGGGTGATGATTGGCCCCTGTAGCTAGGAAGCCCCCATAGTACAGCCAGCTTCAAGCATGCTGGATCCAGACACTTAAACAAGGTTGTTGTAGTATTGATTGTCTTTTACCTCTATTTTCCTGTGTTGCCTTCATTCTTGGGCTCTTTCCGAGCGGAACTGAAGAGGACAGGTTTACGTGCCACAGTTTTATCCATCCCACAGTGCATCTCTTTCCCTGTAGTTCCAGAGAATACCCTGGGCAGACTGTGATTTGTCCAGATGGGGTCATGTGTTCTAGCTGTGAGCCAGTTACAAGGACATACCCAGGCCTTCATGGCTTGCCAGCTCCAGAGCACAGGGAGATGTTCACCCCACAGGAACTGCACGGGGGCTAGAGATGAGAGATTTGGTTCCAGAAAGTGAAAAATGTGTATTGTGAACCAGCAAAGGGAGAGCAAATGCTGAATAAGAAAAAAAAATCCTTTAGAACTCAAAGTTCCCTTGGCGCTTTCCTGAAAACATATTGACTGGTGTATATGACAAACTGAGGATTTCAGTTTTCCTCTACAGTGTGATTTTAACTCTTGGAAATTCAGAACTGTCTTCAGGTGTTAGGATCTTGTCTAATGCAGTGGAAAATAAGATAGTCTTCTTATAGGTTCACATCTCCCGTGTCTCTGTCAGTCAAGAGGGAAGTCACATTGGCTTTAATGAAACCGACTTTGTTTTCCGTTGAACTGAACTGAAAGTAGCTACTGAACTTCTTGTGGTTCAAATAAAAACCACCTGGCTTCTTTGAGTGATGTCATCATGGGGTCATTGTTATCAGACAGTGATGTTTCAAGCGTTTCTTCCTAAGTTGCTGGATTGTAGATTCTGAAAGCATCTTTCCTGGACCTATTCCTCCTCTTAGTAATCCCTCTCTTTTTAGATGAGATTTCTCATGGTTCAAGCAAATGAATACAAGTGATGTGTGTATTCTCCGTGGTATTCTTACTTAACACAATGTAGCATTGCTTTGACGTTGACTTAGGTGATACTTCATCAATTTTTTTCACCTGTTTTCTAATACCCTGATTTTATACTCCCCTGGCAGTAGTAGTTTATCATCAAAGAACCCTGAACTGTACAATAGGCATGGTCCCCTCTAGTAAATTATTTAATCCTCAAAAGCACCTTATGGTGATAGTGTTGCAGTATTATTCCCAACATACAGTTAAAGAAACTAAGGCACAGAGAGGTTAATGGATTTACCCAAGGTTACACAGCTAATAAAAAAATGGAGCCAAGGTCCAAATCCAGGCATTCTGACTTCAGGGTACTTGTTCTTAACTGCTGTGTTATGTTGTCTGCTTAGAGGCAGCATATTTTATTAACGATTTGCTTTCTACTTGATAGCGGATATAAAGTAACTTTTAGAGAAAGGCAGATTAGGTAGTGAAGCCACTTACTATTAGTACGTTCTTTGGGCTAGTTATGTAGCTGTTCTGAGCCTCAGTGGAAGCATATGTGATTTGGGATGTTAATAACCACCTTTTAGCGCTGTTAGCATTTAAAACGTACATCATGTAAACTGCCTAGCCCATATTAGGCACTTTAAAAATATTAACACTTCTTATTAGCTTAATTATATTTTAAAACGATGGGTAATTGTAAATATCCAAAAAGGTCTGACTTTGTCCTAAGGAAAGGGGTCGTGACTATGCAAAACATCGATAGTCAGAAGAAACTGTTATTTAATAGAATTTTAATCATAAATTTCTGGTTAAAATTCCCCCACAGAGGGGAGGGATGGCAAATTTTTTCCATAAAGGGGCAGACAGTGAATATTTTCAGCTTCATAGGCCATATTGTGTCTGTCACAGTGACTGGACTCAGTTCTGCCATTAGGGCACAAAAGCAACCACAGACCGTGTATAGGGAACAAGTATGGCTGTGTCCCTTGGGCCATGGTTTGCTGACCTGTGAACTAGGGTAACATTTTTGATGTCACCAACATGTTTTTAGCTGAGAAATATTTTTGTGGTCCCTGGACATTGCTATCCTAGGTTATGTTAGTTTGGATTCACAGAGCCCTCAAGTTTAGTCATACTTGGGGGAATATCCATGTGTGTCATGCCCCATGATTTCATTCACCAGCCACAGTTTTTACACTTCCTTGGGCTTGGGGTCTTCTACCTGGTTTTTAGAGTTAGACTGGGGGAGAGGAAGTGACTTTGCCAGGTAACTGTTTGCTAGTCTTCTATTGCTCCAGATTAATAAGATACAACTGTTACAGAGGCCAAGATCGGTTATTCAGGATAAAAATCCCATCTGTCAATAAAGTGCCACTGTTAGCAGAGAGAGGGGTTAAGAAAAGGGAGGGGGATTCACAGGTCTAAAATGAAGCATATTTTTTTCCCTTCCTGAGGAAGAAATATCATAACTGTTGGTAAATCAAAACCAGAGATTTGACACTTTTCTGTGATCATTCTGCAGTGTTTGTTCCCAAGGTGAGGTATACCACAGGGCCCTTGATTTCAAAGATAAATACTGTACAAATAACCATCCTGTTGT